TCTGTGGCTTTATTTTTTTTGCCTTTGTTTTCTCCTTTATGGAGAGGGTATGATTGTAATCTCCATGGTGCCTGCAACTTTCTTTTTTCCCCCTGAAGAGATACGGTATCTTTTCTTTTGATCCTGCCCGAAGGAACTCTCTCTCATAACAGCTCTGGATTTTACTGGCTGTAGCATTTTTTTACAGATGGGCTCTGCTGATGTAGCTTTGATTTTGTCTCTGCTGAGTCTACAATTGGCACATTGCAGCCTCTCTCCCTATCTGCCCCTCCCCCCCGCATCAATGCCTACACTTTTGAACCAAGGGTGAGTTGATGGGGTGTCAATTCGTTTATCATAAGTGGCAGGTAATAGGAGGAAATCCAAGCAATGGAGTGGTATAAGATAATGTAATACTTCTGTTTCTCTTAAAGCAGCTGAGGGCAAAAAAAAAAATTGATATGAAGGTGTTTTTTTTTTTTTTAAAGCAAGCTGGAGAGATGGTGACCATTTTAAATTGCTGGTTTAATCTCTTTAATTGCTTCAAATTTTTTAAAGAATTTTTTTTTTAATGGAAGGCAATCGCCTCTCAGCATAGTCTCTGTGTTATTAGTGCCCATCTTGATGACCGGCTCTGCAGGAGGAGAAAAGTGAATGGTGTGACAAAAGCATCATACCCATGTCTCCGTACTCCATTTAAAGCTGATGCTAAAATGGCTCAACCTTGTTCCAAGGAGAGAAAAATAAGTGGAGTAGGTGATTATGGCACTTATTTGGTACTTTTTTTGTTTGTGTGTATATATATATATATATATATTATATATATATATAAATTATATATTAAAGATCACTTTCTATTATGCTGTTTCATTTTTATTCTGTCTAGTGCATTTCAGTGTGTCTACTTATCCATCATCTCTGCTTCCCTCTGTCCTACGCGCACACACAATATACACATGCCCAAGAATGAAATTATGAGCAGGGAGAGGGCAGAAATCATTGTATGATTTCATTGGACTGGCATTATTGCATACGGTTATTGGTTTTGTCATACAATTAAGAAGCCCTAAGTTGCAAGGTCATGTGTGCCTCTCTTTGAGAAAGCACACTGAACATAATGAGGCTTCTTACTAAATACAGATGGTCCTTAACTTACAACCATTTGTTTAATGACTGAAGTTACATCACTAAAAAAAGTGATCACCATTTTTCACACAACCGGTGCAACATCCCCATGGTCACTAGATCAAAATTCAGATGTTTGGCAACTGGCTCGTGTTTATGACAGTTACAGTATCCTTAACCATGTTACTATTAAGCACTGCAGTAATTCACCTAACCGTGGTAAATTCATAAAAGAAGGTGAAACTCACTTAGCAACTGGCTTAATTGTCATAAGTCAAGGACTACCTGTAATGTTCTGAAGATACTTGGTGGCTGCCGTTCTGTGGGTGTTAATAGCTGAAGGACATAGCAGGTTGGGTAAAGTTTAACAAACTTATTGTTTTAATATTTTTATATGCCACTGCAATCCCGTGATTGGGTGGTTCCCAAAATTGAAATGCAATCTCAGTCCAACTGAGCAAAATGATAGAAACAATTTCAAATGAAGAGGATGGCAACCTTTCATTGCTCATAGGTTTTCAAGTTTTGAAAGCCCGGTTAAAAGAGGCCATTTTGAGCAGATTGCCTACTTAGTCTTGGTGGAGCCAATATTCCTAGCTTCCCTCATGCAAAGGCCAGACCCAAGCTCTGCCTCCCGAACAATGTTGCTTCATCTCACATAGTGATGGGATCTTAAGCAGACCCTCTCTCAGCCTTAAAAATATAGCCGTTCTGGACAACATTACTGGGTAATTAGTCATAATTTAAGGAAACTTGATATTTATTTTATTTAGCGTATGGCAAATACATGGACTTATAGTTGTTTATCCGTAGAGAGCCAGGAGTTCTACAAAGATGTCCGGCTGCCAACTGTCATTAACTGCCAATTCTTCAGTGTAGTCTGGCTGCCACTTGTTGCTAGTCATTTGGTTCATACTACTATGCTATCCAGGGTGCACCACAAGGAGGCGAACTAACATCCCACCCACTTGACATTTAGAGGATGTGTACACATTATTTCCTTAGGAAGAAAGAGATTGATGGATAGATGGAGTAACTCCTGTCTGCACCTCCATCCCCGGTTTTGAGAGCTTTTCCTATCAAGTATGATCAGCATGTTGACAATAATCCGGTCAATCCATCTGGTGGTTGTGAAGACTCAGGATTCTATATATTATAGACTCATCTTTGGAGAAAACATTAGCTTGTGAAGATTAATATTTTAAAATGATGTTGGCAGAAATATCCATCTTGGAAAGATGGTTCATGATAAAGTAGAACCACATGGGTTTGAGGTCCTGGGCAGCTCACTACATGGCGATGGAGTAAAGGGTTTTTATACCTTCTCTTGGGCTGTTGTCAGACTCCCATGGGGCCATGTACAAATCCTAGGAGTTTGCCCAAGCTAAGCTTGGTTGGAGTTTGGCTGAAGCAATGAAGGGGCTGGTTGGGCAATTGCTATAGTGGCTGAGAGCTTACCCTACCTTTGTTTAGACCTTGCTGCAGGTGTAATGGATTACCAAATTCTGCATTTCTAAAAGTTGGCCTCAGCTCGGTGGCAGGAAGCTGAGGCACTGAGTTTTTGTCTCCCTTAAGATTTTTATTTCTCTTTTAGGGGAAATATTTTATCCTGCCTTTTTAAAATATATCTCAAAATATTTCATTCTTCAAGGAGAGAGGTAGCTACTCCACTCTTAGACAATTGAAAGAACTCCCAAATATAGGACAAATGTAATATCTATATTTAATATTTATGTAACAAGCTAGCAGCTTGTCTGAATCCATAGGGTGAGAGGTTGGAAGCCTCAAATCACACAGACAACCTCCGGCTCTACATATCCAAATTCTAACTCCTGCTTGGTGAATATCTTTTCCTCATGTCCTCTTCACTAATCCTAATGTATGAGTTAGTGATTGTACAGCCTATACTCTGATAGGCAAATAACAGAAAAATACAGTAAATAAAAAAGAGAAATTCTACAATATCCTGTCTTCAGCCTAGTGTTGAAGCTGAGATGAGTGAATACATATTGCTGTATTGAAGACTTGCTGGCAACAAAGGTGCAGAATTGTGATAGGAAACTGATGTTAGTTCTTAACATTTTCTATAATGGAAATTCAGTAAGACTCATCCTTGGGAATGTTGCTTGTATTTTAAAATCTTTCAATTCCCTATCCCACATTCTGTAACTTAACCTTTGCCCTTTAATGTCTGAAACTAAATTGTACTTTGTTTTCATTGAAAACAACATGAAAAGTCATTAGCACATTAGTACTTTCTGTGCCTAAGTAGCAATATCCAGTCTGGACGGTGGATGTTAAACTTTTTCAGGGTGCAAAACCTGTTAATTAAAATATAAATAAATCCTGGAACCACTAATCAAGAAGCAAACTTGTAGTGATAGAAACTTGGTTGTATTCAAGTGAATTTCCACTCACTCTCTTTAATTTCTTATCGAAACCCTATCAGGTTTTTATAGAACACTGTTTGAAAAGCCCTGATCTATTCAGCCTTAGATGATCTTGGAAAAATTACTTGTGGAGTTAGCTCCGTAGACCTTGAAAGGGAGATTACCAAAATATGGCTGTTGGTTTGATTGGGAAAATAATCCAAAAGAAGGTGGGGCAAATAATGTCTATATTGTTGCCAAAACAATTAAATGGATGAGTCAATGAAGTCATCAGGAACTGAGCTTGATTCAAATGTGTATTTGGGATTGGGTGATATTATTGGCTATGGTGAGAATTGATAATTTTGAACATGGTTACCTGCTCATTAAAATACAATGAATATAAGACCTACCTAGTACCTCTATTTTGCCAGGTAAGAGTCTTTACCTTCTTTTTTAGGCAATTAGGGCTTCTGAGCTGAAGTTAAGGACTTAACCATTGACAAGCAGAACAATGTGCAAACACAGCCATTTGAGGATAAGGGCACAATGCAAGCCTGCAATTTGACTATCTAAAGATGGTTTCCTTGTAAACTGATTTTACATCCAGGTTTACTTTTCTTGTTAATACCACACGGACTTAGTAGTCATGGGGAAGCGAGTATCTGGCTATCAGCAGGTTGGCTCAACAGAGTAAACCAGAAATATGCAAAGCAGAGAGAATGGTGTGATCTTTTTTGAAACTTTAAACTTCACATCCACATTCCTACCTTAAGATAGCAATAGCACTTAGACTTATATACTGCTTTACAGTGCTTTACAGCCCTTCCTAAACTGTTTACAAAGTCAGCATATTTCCCCCAACAATTTGGGTCCTCATTTTACCCAGCTCAGAAGGATGGAGGGCTGAGTCAACCTTGAGCCTGGTGAGATTTGAACTGCCAAATTGGAAGCAGACAGCAGAAGTAGCCTGCAGTACCGCACTCTAACCACTGCACCACTGGGGCTCAATGCGGGGGTGAAGATGGCATTGTGCCATCTTCTCCTATACCATTTTGTTTTTCTATTAAATTCTTGGTGCCTTCCGCCGTGACCTTAAAACTTTTTTTTCAGCAAGCATGGCTGGCTTAACTTTTAAATGTTTTTAACTGGTTTGTCATTGTTTTTTAATTACGGGGCCAAATTTATATATATCTTTTTAATAGCATTTTAATGTTTGTAGTTTATGTTTTTATTTGGCTGTATACCGCCCTGAGTCCTCAGGGAGAAGGGCAGTATATAAATTTGATATAAAATATAAATAAATTAAATAAATACATAAAAAAAATGTTTTAACCCTGCCATGGATATTTAAGGATTATTTCACTGTATGCACTGCAAACCACTGAGAATCATCAGACCACAATGGGGGTGTAATTATAAATAAGTAAATAAGGACTGTTAGTGTAATGAGTGACATGCTACTGTGTAAATAAAAATGTTTTTCTAATGCAAGAAAAACAACCCTCCTTCTGGATGGAGGCTGAATTGTGTTCTGCTCTGGATTTATTGAAACACCAAAAAAAGGTCTCCGCCTCTCACAGGAGAGAGAGAGAGAACAAACTCGTTAATTCCACATATTAATCCCGGTCAAGGGGCTCTCTTGCTTCTTAGGCTGCACTCAGAACAGGCTGAAGAGAGGATCAGTGACTGCCATGTGGTCTATAAACCTACAACAAAAATAAATAAATAAAATAAAATGGAATTGTTAATTCCCCTTTCCTCTTCTTAGTCTCTAGAACCATTAAAGTGCACTACACCTCTGTTTAACAGAACGAAATGTAACAGCGCAAAGAGAATTTGCTCTGCAGGATACCTTTTCTACTTTTTTTTTTTTTTTAATCTAAGCACCGAGCAATGAAAATCATATTTGGGCTAATCAAAAGAAAGACCGTGTACCCCGCCAGTCAATCCCATCCAAAGGAGGACAAGTTGATTTCACACAGTTTGCTCTTGACTGAGCGACCCACGTCTTAAAACCCCGAAACGCCGACCTCGCCGGGCTCAGTCCAGCGAAGGACGAAGAGCTTCCCCGCAGGCGCGATGCCTCTTTAAGGGCTCCCGGGTGTCATGTGATCCCTTAACCCTACAGTATCCCCGCCGCTGCCCTGACTCGGCTCACTCCGACTCGCTGAGCCGATGGGGTCGGATCGGGGCTTTTTAAAGCTCGGTGCCAGCAGCTGCTCGTTCATTTGCTACGGTAAGACATAGTGGACCGCATTCCGCTTCCTCTCCGGAATAAGATACCTTACCCTTTTAAAATACCTTGCATGGACAGCTGATGAGATGGGAGTCATGGGGTCTCAGAAACAATGTCTCTCTCCCCCCCCCCAAACCCCCATTTTGGCAGAGAGCCTCCATCTCGCCGTAGCATGATGAAAAGTGCACGTGTATGTCTACGTACACACGCGCACGAGAATATCCTGATGGGAAATCAGATTGGCAAACTATACGGGTACGCTTTATTATGCCCCCTGGCGGTCCTTCCGCGCAGGTGCATCCAGTGACCGCTTTTTTTTGGGACGGTCCGGTTTAAACAAAACAAGAATTGTTGCTGGTTTGGGCTGCTGACGAGAAGGATGAAGTTCGATATTTCTTGGTTGTGAGAAGAATCGGGCTTATTTATAGGGGTTCGGAATAGCTGATGTGACATGCTTCTTCCCCCCCCATCTCCTCCGTCCCTCGAATTCAGACATATACAACCCCTGGCTACAATCCAGGAAAAATGCTGTCCTGTATGCATTTTTCCTCACAGGCTGTGTTCATACAACGCGAGTTAGAATGCTAGATCTAATGAATTGATTGTACGATACAGTATATTAAGCTAAATGTGGTCAATTTTAGCCTTTACTGGGGTTGATGGGGTTATTTTTTTTTTGGCAACTTGCCAAAACCACTTTATGGTTAAAGTGTCTTATCTAAACCTGGAAAATGGGCTAGTTAAGTAATCAGATTAAGCAGGTTGTGAGAATGTAGGTTTAAGATAGCAGGAGCTGAGGTGTTATCCAACATTAGCCTTAGGCAATAGCAAAATATAATACATTTTAATCAGTATTGCTCTTTGTTTATCAAAGTACAAATACGCAGGTAAATTTTAAACTAGCTTTAAATACATACATAAACAATGTTGGTTTTGTGAGAGTCCTAGCTCTGCTAGAAATCTAGTTTCTTTTTAAAAGAATGAATGCAACGTTATTCTCTCGCCTTTCCTGCAAAACACAGGAAGCCCTTAATTTTGGGATAAAGTTCCCATCCAATACTTTGGGTCTTCTCAGTTTCTTATGAAAGATTAGGGTAATTGCACATCCAGAATCCATGTTTTGGTGTAATTATTTTAGTCTATAATTTAAGTTTGTTCTGTAACTGTGTGCAGGTAGTCCTTGCTTAGTGACCATTTGAAGTTATGTCAGACCACCACCACCACACCCTGCCCCAAGAACCTATTTATGACTCCTTTTTGAAGTTACAGATGCTACAGCACCCCGGTAGTCATTCATCCTTACAACTGACTATAAGGATGCTGCAGCATCGCCCTTGCTTATCTTCCTCCCCCCTCCTCCATTTCACTCTGCCAGGTCTGCTCACTGATGAAATTTAGTAAGCTTATGAATTTAAGCTTACCAGCACCGTGGCCCTGACTCGTAACTAGATTTCTCTTAAAAATGTGAAGTTTCTACACCTGAGAGCAATTTTAAGTCACATACTGATAGTTTCAGATAAAGGAAGTTAGATCATCCATTTTAGACTAGCTCAGAGGTGTCATACTTGTGGTGTCACATGATGTATCGTGACTTTTTCCCCCTTCGCTAAACCGGGGGTGGGCATGGCCAGTGTGTAACGCATCCGGCCTGTGGGCCGTGAGTTTGACACCCCTGGATAAATGGAAGAACTAATTCTTTGCTGCTCACTGGATGCTTACTTGGTCATGGAGCTCCGCAGCAGTGGATGCCTTGGCACCTTTATCCAAGGTAATGTATCTTCTGGCTTGATTGATAGATTCTTAGGCTGCCACCAACCAATATCTTGTGCACAAGTTAGTGGTACCCTGTATTCTTGATTGGGGCCTAGAAAAGAGATTAAGCCTTCTGATTGTTTGGAAAAGGCCTAAACAGGGCAAGGTAGGATCTCTAAACAAAACTGCCTTTAACCAAGCCTCTCCCTCTTACTGTTTCTTATTTAACTACTTTATTCCCTGGAAGCCCAATGGCTATTCTTTCCTGTATGTTGCCAGACTTGCTAAACTTAGCCTGGAGTTGTTAATACTTTCCTAGTACTTAAATGTAATGGTTTCATTTATTTCAAACTGTTGGCTAAGGCTTAATATTCAACCTAGTATCTATAGGTAGCTTTAAAAGATGGAACCACCTGGTTGACCTTTTCTGGTCTGGAATCTAAGAATAGTTAGGCCTGATTAGTATTTGGATAGGAAACTACCAGAAAATAGGAGAGGTATGGAGGAAGACAATGGTAAACAATTTTCATTCCTCTGTCAGAACTTCATGAATATGTCATGAAGTCACCAGGAATTGAGCTCAGGTCAAAGGAGACTTATTTAAAGGCCATTGCAGCTGATTGCTAAATTAATTATTTGATCATCAATTAATTGGAAACTAACGTCAATGTGAAGGTTTTTGCTTCTTTTCCATACTACCCAAATAGCTGGCAATGAATACAGAAGCTACAAGATGGGACTGTTGGGACTTGTCCTCCTCATCTACTGCAGGAAACCCAGGGACCACCAGGTTTTCTTCTGGTTCAGTCCACATTGTCTCCTAGCATGCTCTTGAACTGTGCTCTCTATCCATGCTGTTGCTCTTAACTCAAAAGACTTGGAAGTACTATATTGTAAATTGTGCAACGTATTCCCTTGGGGGAACAGGGACCCAGCGGCCTTCCAGGTATTATGGGGTTCTTTTACCCATGACCAATATGCTGCATGATCACAAATTAAACTTCTAGTGAATCATAGGTTCTGTTCCTTCTGTGAGTATTTCTGCATTTACTGAAACTTTGATTTAAACCTGACTCTTGGTGCTTCTTCACCTACATTTCTTGAGCCGCTTCTGTCTGATAGCCTCTTGATATTTCTCATGGCTGCCCTGGTATTCAGTGTCGTCACCATATCCAAATTGTCCTATGGGTGGGAGCTTTGGGTAGAAAAGTTCCAATTTGGGAGGGATTGTTCCCACTGGAGATGAACAGAAAAAAATGTCACTCTAGAAGAAAGCAATTCCCAGACAAAATTCAGAGCAAGTTGCATAAATATTTTTTTTACTACTTCAACAGTGTTGAAGTTGCAGTATATAATTCCATTTCTTGTCTGGCAGGCTTGTAATCTAAAATTTCACAACTTTTTCTGAGATAATTTATATATCTTCTTGATTTTTGCACAAATCCAAATGTGGAAGGTAGCTATAGTTAGTAGGGATAGCAACATATTCACAATGAAAAACTGAAATCTGTTGAAGAATGAAACTCATTCACTTTTTCATTCACTAAAAATAGTTCAGTGCCACCAGTGTATGTATAAATGTGCATGTATATGTACATTTATTAAATATTAGAATTTCAAAATTGTTATTCCTAGGAACAATTTTACCAATATAATTGGATTGATATTTTCTGTTGAAATTCCGCCTTTTAAAACATGTAATAGACATGCAAATTATTAAATAGTCAGTACTTATGCTCCAAATTGTTTATGTTGGTGAGTATCTCATAGCAATCGTGATTTGTTATGGTTCTGGGAATTAATGATACATTGTCTGATTGGAATGTAATGATTTTGTAAATGATGGTTACATTGCTTTAGATTTTTGAAATGTGCCTAGATATACATGCAGGAAATAGCTCTTAATAAATCCCAAGAAAGAAAAAAGCAAACTAACTTTATTTAGATATCCTTACCTGGCACTTCATATTTTGGTATTGATAGTTTTTTATCACGAAAGGGTTCCTGAAGACCTAGAAAAGTTATTCCAAAGAAAGCCATTACCTGAGCTTTATGTTTTAGTACTTAGGTTAAACCGTATCCAACTGCAATGTTCCATTTCCTGGTTTCTGAAGCATGTTTGCTTTGTTACCATGGTGATATACTGCGGAACTTAGTACATTACCTAAGAAAGCAGTTTGTGATGTCTTAAGGCAATATAATTTGGTATAACTGAAGAAATTCTGTATTTTGGAACCCCATTCCCCATTGTTGTGTCATCAACTTGCACTTATTTGCATACAACATCAAAGGATGAACAAAAATGCTCCCAGCTGACTTAAGGTTGATCACATTTGTTTTGCACCTAGCCAACCTCTTGGCTGACCCCAGAAAGTTAAGCAAGGTTGGACCTGGTCAGTTACCGGAAGAAAGATTAGCAGGAAATTCTAACCATGCAGGCAAGATTAAGCATCCTGGAAAAAGACAGTAGCAACTAGTTTCATAATATTTTGTTGGAAAAAATATCCATCTGGGTTCAGCTCCAAGTGGGGAAAAAGACACTGGAAACATGGAGACTGCTTGGAAAGATGGTTTAATGGTGGACAGGATCACATGGTTTGAGTTCCTGAGCAGAAAAGGGCTGAGATGCTGAGCATGCCTTGGTTTTATGCCCTCTCTGAGCTTTGAACTTCCTGGGGCACAGGAAGAGTATCCTGATTGGTTATCAGACTCCCAGGGGGTGGAGGTTTTAGCTAGCCTTGCTGGCTGATGTAATCTTCCCAGGTGCCATGTGGCAAGTTTCTGTTGCTAGATGGGTCCTATTGTGTTGCAGATGATGGTCCATTGACAAAGGGGGGGGGGATGAGTGAGCTTGGCTGAGGCCTTAATGGCCCATTGACAAAGGTGGGGGGGAGGCAGGAACCTGCTTTGTCTTTAAAACATGTTTCTCCATTTCTCATCAAGGGAAATATAATATTCTGCCTTTTATAATATTTCCTAAAATATTTCATTCTTCTAGGAGAGGGATAGGCGCTAACTTCTTAGTTTCATGATCTGTCTTGAGGGAATCTTTATTTGACTGTATTAAATATCCAATAACCTGAAAGCCGAATCCAATCAGCTTGTTCGGGAGTCTCTGGAGCAATGCTACCAATTACCAAAATCCAATCAAATTTTGCCAAAAAGCAGCTCAAATCTAGGACTCGGCTGCATGCAGCCATCTTCTATCACAGCAGTAACGGCTGCCAAATTTAATCGGAAATGAGGGTCTTTATTGTCCATTGAATTTTTAAAACCTTTTTTAAGAGACAAAAGGTTGCAAAATAATCCGTGAGCTCTCATCCAGAAAATGTTATGGGGCTGGCTGTTAAGCAAAGCATAGAGAATAGGGAAGTTGAAGGCAGGGGGAAAAAAAATTCTGGCTGAATATTATAACCATGAAGTCTTGTTTATTTCCCCCCCCCACCCCTCTCTCGTGCTTCCAGGATCCAAAACAACAGACGAGAAAAGCCTGATCGCCTACAAATGAAGCGGGCAAACGAAAACCGGAAGCTCGCTATGCAGTTTCCGCCCCTCGCTGCGTGCTGGGCAGGAAGTGCGCGCGGGGCGGCGGATTTGGACGCGATCACGTGAGTGCTGGCCGGCGCGTGCGTGCCTCCTCCGGCGCATGCGCTGTGGTCGACGGCGACGACGGCCATCATGGCGGTGTCTAGCGCGGCGGCTGCGGGAGGTGGAAGACGCTGGTATTTCACCCGAGAGCAGCTCGCTCGGAGTCCTTCCTGGCGCTTAGGACTCGACCCGGACAAGGAGTTATCGTACCGGCAGCAAGCAGCTAACCTGCTTCAGGATATGGGCCAGCGCCTCAACGTGTATCCCTTCGGCAACTAGGCCGCGCCTCAAACTGGGATTGGGCTGGGCAGGGTTACGGAAAGAGGACTAGGCCCGCCGGAGATTCGCGTAAATGACTTTGGGTGCCTGTTAGGTTTACGCGGAGGAGGGGAGGGGGCTGTATGTGTGTGTGTGGGGGGGGGGTCGTAGCGTTAAGAGGGACGGGTATTGCGCGTGTCGCTCTTGTACGCGGGGAAGTGTTTCTATGGCTGGGGCGCCTTAGGTCGTGTCCCCGAAGGAGCTTTGATTTGGAACTGCACCGACATTAGGTTTGCTGGGTGGTTGGGGAATGTTAAACGCACATGTTGTGCATTGTGTTGGGACGCTGTTACGGTTTAGGCTGAAGGGCAGGCTCTGAAGTGGGTCTTCACTGATTTTGCAAAAGCACAAGAGGCCAGTCGGTAACACGTTACTAGCAGAGGCATTTGTCTGGCGTGTTGCATTATTTGGATGATAAGGAAATTTTGAAATTTGATAAATGTTTATGGATGGGAGAAAAAGTGAACCATCCTTTCCCCCCTGTGTTTGATTTGAACATTAATTCTGAGCCTCATTTTTTTTTCCCAGCTGTATTGGTATTTAACATTTTGGCTGAATAAATATTGAAGTCCCTAATACAAAGCTTAGATATACAGGTTCGAATCCCAGAAGGGTATGGCTAGCTGATGAGAGCTAAATAGCTTGAAATAGATCTATACTAGTCTTCCTTTATTTCTTTGTCAGTAAATATAAATTTAACACAAAATAGTTTGTCGTGAAAGTGACTGCCTGAGGGCTCCTGGATTGGGGCTGAAAGACAAAAAGGAAGCTGTATGCTCCTTCCCATATTTCGGTAGACCAGGTTGCTTCGATAGAAAACCCATATATATGTGTGTGTGTGTGTGTGTATGTATATGCATGCATATAGATAGATAGATAGATATAGATATAGATAGATATAGATAGATATATAGATATATACACACACACACAATATATATATATATACTGTCTAAAATATTTATGTAAGGTCTTAAGTCAGAGTCTCTAATTGTGTAATACCATGTATAGTTTTATTCAGAAATCAGTTCTATTCTTGGCTTAGTTTTAGGAAGTCAACTTTTTTAATACTTAGCTTTTCACATAATCTTTTCTTAGGAAGAATAATGCACTATTAAATTTAACATCTTCCTTAACGATGAACCACTAGTTCTCAACTGACTATTAATACAGCAATTGTTTATATGCATCGATTCTACATGGTTCAATCCTTTACCCACTTTCATCGAAATGTAAGTATGTTATCAGTTTGTGTTTCTCAGCTGGAGTTCTGAATGGATTTATTATATATTTTATTTTTGGCTAATAGAATATGTGCATAATATGGAAGTAGTAGAACTTCAATAGTTAAAAAATATACTGTGGAGTTAAGTCTTCAGAAACAGGTCCCATCAAATTTATGCTTCGATCTACATGTTTACAAGTAATAATGAGATTCTTCATTTTTTTAAAAATTAAGAGGCTTTCAAAGAAACAATGATAAACAATGCTACTTTAGAATATAACAATAACAATTGGCAAACTATGTGGCAAATTTTCAGGCATTACTGATAAAATGCTTGCTAGAACACTGACATGTTAATTGGATGCCTGACATACAAGGAAGTTTACTTTCTGAGGGAAACATCTTAAACTCTCAACATTGCAACTGAGAATGGTTTATGGTTTCCCATAAACAGTTTATAATAAACCTATATATTCTGACTTCAGACTTTTAGCTGGATTTGTACAGATGTTAAGTTACTATGATTTATGTTGTAAGATCTTATTTATTTCCTTTACTAAGATTTTATTTTCTGATCCTCATTCAATAATCAACATATGCTTACAAAAAAAATGCTCACAGTGCATTTTTGTAACTTGTCTAAGGAGAAAAAAAAGTTTGCAGACCGAAAATTCAGAGTGATGAAACATTCTTGCTTCAACTGTTTGCAAAGTTTTTCCCCTTGGTTCTAATGTATATTTCTTTTCCTTTGCACATTTGAGAGTAGTGTGATTTTGCTATTTGAGAGATGGTATATTTAATACATTTCTTCTCTATAAAGGCTGTGGCACCAGCTGCCCTTTTCCTGGCAGCCAAGGTGGAGGAGCAACCTCGAAAATTGGAGCATGTCATCAAGGTTACTCATGCCTGCCTGCACCCTCTGGAAGCTGCTCCTGATACACGGAGTGAGGTAAGTAGTTAAACTTCTGTGAAAGATGTACTGTACACAATAAATCAGAGAGAAAGAACACACATCCTGGCAGTGCAAATCCACCATGCTTCATTTTACTGAGAGTGTTACAGTCACCTTGAAATACAACTGAATAATTTCCAGAATAAGAGTATTTAACAATTGAATACAGATAAAGAGTTTCTGCTCTTGGTGCATAGTACAGAAAGCTCTTGGTTTTGTAAGCCAAATTGCTTGTCTGTCCTATGTGTTCTGGCCAGTGTGTTGATAAAAGCTTGGTGTGTAGCACAGCTTGCATTCAGGGATGGATGTTACCTGCCAGGATCATACTCTTACGGTGATATAGAAGTTGATTTGTGAAATCCAGTCGTTTTTACTGTTCAAATAAAAAGATTATTAAGCACATTGCTTCAGTTTCTTACCACAGCCCTTCCTGACAGGACCAGCACATCTAACCTTGCCAACAAGGGGGAAGCTTTATTTTAAAACTAAATTGGAACAAAAAGGCAATTTTGAGCTTGTGCTACAGGACAATTTCAACAGTAGCAGTGTACAATCAGCAATTTTTCTTGTGTGTGCATTTGGTGCTCTTTCCCCTGGAAATGGGACATTTATGCCCATTTTCTCCAGCACAGATATAATAAAGATTCCCCCTTGATTTTTTGCCTCCTCAAGAGAGTGTTAGAAATATGCAGGCTTAATACAGAGTGCCTCATCACAAGTAACCTGCCTGTCCTCTCAACCCCAGGGTTACCTGCAACAAGCCCAAGACCTGGTCATTCTAGAGAGCATAATACTGCAGACCCTGGGTAAGTTTTCCAAGCGGACGGGCTGCTTCATGAATCTCAGACCCAGGAATGTTCCGCAGAATGGAGAGTCTAACCCAACCCCCGTCTTCTTCACAGCTGACCAATATGGGAAGCCATCAGTCCAGGCGACAGTCCTTGTCATAATGGCCAATTTATGACTTGTTTATGTTTTGAGTGAATATGTTCATACAACTATAAATGTGCAAACAGGATTTTCTTTTTAACAGGATTTATATCCTTTAGGTTCCAGGCATTGTACTCTGGATTGAAGTCTTAGCAGCTTGACAGTCTAATGTTTCAACTGTATTACTATATCAGTTTGATAATCCAGGATAGGAAATGAATATCCTGATAAATTACTATACATTATTAATGTTAAGCTTTTGCTGCATCTTAAATATAATTCTTCATTTAAAAGGTTTATAGCAATTAAAATGCTATTTTTTGCACTTTGATAGTTGATAGGCTTGTCATTATAAAATGGTATATGTGTTCCTACTGTTTAATGTTATATGCAAAATGCTTTTCTATTACTGTTGAGCAAGACTTTTTGACTTTGACTGTACAGTGTGTAAGCATGTTAATCCTAGCTGTGAAACATTGTAATGCATGAAACAGGTTAAAGATAATTTGTCATAGATACTTAACAATTGTGATGTATGTACATAATCTATAAACTTGTATCCTGTTAATTTGCAGGAATAAAGAATATTAGTTCATATATTTGCCTTTAACAAGAAAAAACCTTCTCAGAACAAACTTAAAATTGATTAAAAATTATTCTAAGAATAAAGCACTTGCTTGGGTTATAAAAGTGAGCAGAAAAACAAGTAGTTGCTAGAATTTTATTCTCTAATTCAGAATTCAGAATCAATTTAGAATATTTGAATGTGTGTTAGTATTTTTACCAAGAAATTTAGTATTTCAAAAACTTGCAATATCTGTTGCATTCTTGTGCTAGATAATTGATGTATTTGAGCCCAGGAGATGTCCTGTTTGCATCTGAGCACAGAGCGGTATTAATTGACTGGAGGAACAATCTACTTTGCCTCCCAGGATCAGAGACGTGCATGGTATGTAGAATTACAAGCAAGTTATATCCACGTTCTAAACATTTCCTTTTTTCTTCTAGGATTTGAAATTACCATAGATCATCCTCATACTCATGTGGTGAAGTGCACACAGCTAGTTCGAGGTATGTTCCAAACATGACTGTGATTGTTGCTCAGACAACATATGTGCAAAAATGGTTGTTTACTAGCTCAGAAATTATTTCAAAGAATAAATTTCCTTGGTAAAGAATGTCATGTTAAAAAGGAAAAAGAAGAGGTTGTTACTGTACTAAATATATGCCTTTTGCATATCTAGAGGATCAAAGGGCTTCAAAATGAAAATACCAATGTCAGCCTTTATAGCAGAAATGTATATACTCAAGCTGTGCACAGTATTCTATATGGAATGCTTTGCAGTTGTCTTTCCGTGTATGGGCATGCACAGGTGTTTTCTTTTACTGATAATTCAATGGGAGGGTTGCCTATGCTTGCATATTTATAAGGAGACAATATAGCAATTTTAATGCTTTGCAGCGGGCTTTGCTCTTCTTTAGAAACATCCTTTTGAATGCTTTTGATAGCTGTAATAATAATATGCATCTTAAAGACTATACAGTATATAGTGCTTACAGCTTCCTTTGACTAGAATTGCAAAGAATATATTTTCTGTCCTTTTGAAAAACTATCATTTCTATGTCCAAATGATATTTTGAGAAGTCCAATATGACTCCTTACCCCAAGACCAGAAAAAAAGCTGGGAATCGTTTTCCTGTCCTCACATGACAGGATTTTGCCCACTGTAATCATTCCCCTAGCCAATAAGCCCAGAGTTCCCACAAAAAGTTCCCCAGTCTTGGTGTATAGAATTAGAGGAAATCCACAACGTGCCACACCTTAAGTATTGGCAAATTTAACTTGTGACTTTTCTCTTTCAGCCAGCAAGGATCTAGCACAAACTTCCTACTTCATGGCTACCAACAGGTAGATGTTGAAAATTCAGATTTATTTGTTTTATTTGAAAATGTTTTTTGGTAAATTATTGCAAAAAAATAATTGAAAAAATATGCCACATTTAGAGTGCATTCCTTGACATCAAAACAGTAGATTTATTTAAAATTTGTTTCTTTTAGCTTGAATTTCAGAACAGGAATATACAAAATACCCTTATAAATGAGCACACACTGCTAGTCCATCTATGACCAATTCTCTTTATTGTGTCTATAATGGTGAGAAATAAAGACTTCAAAACAAAAAAACTGTCCCGGCTGCTTAAAGGAAATCCTTATTTCTTGTAAATGAGATTTTGAACTGCAAGTTATTATTAATGAATTAATTACCTGGTTTGCACAATATATTATCATGGTTTAATTTAAGCCTGCTTTGCTATGGAAACACAGACTATAGATTCATGAATTAATTTATCAAGTACAAGCACATAAATTGGTGTTTATTTATTTACACCAGCCATGGTTTTCTGTATCATTCAATCCTGTAGAAGAATATTAAATCTCATGTTCATTTCTCTTTCTAGTATTCAGAATTAGAAAATAAAGACAGTGAAGCTAAAAAAATCAAATATAAAATGGGTTTGATCTTGATAAGGCTATTGTAGAGTCTGATTTTTTTAAAAAGAGAAGCACATTCTCATCGTTTTTTCCAGATTCAGAAATGATAGCCTATTTCCTATGGCACATATCAATAAAGTTTAGTTTTTGGCTTATGACGGCAATTAGGATTGAAATTTTTATCGTTAAGTGATGCAGTCATAAATTGCACTCCTGGTAACCATTGTTAACTGAATCCCATGGTCGTTAGGTGAGGCAAATTCCTGCTGGCCTCCTACAACAAAGCCAGTGGAGAAGCCAGCTGGAAATTGCAATCCTAGGGCATCAGGCAGCTAAGTAGCTGCTGTCAGGTGGAGGAAGGAGGGAGGGAGGAAGGGAGTGAGTGAATAGTGCCATATGGGCCAGGGTGTGACGGGCTGCATGAGAGGCAGGGGTCAGGGAAGGCATGAGAGGTTGTGTGAGTGCGGAGGGACTTCGACCTTCCCTGCTGGCTTCCCCAGTGACTTTCTAGGGAAGCCAGCAGAAAAGGTTGCAAATTGTAATGGGGTGCTTGACAATTGGTCATAAGTGTGAAGAAGTTGTCAAGCATCCAGATTCTGATCACGTGACCATGACAGTATTAAGATGTCGAACTTCTGAAGTCAGGTTATAATCACCATTTGTAACTTGGATGGGTTGCTCTTGTCTTTGCTCAAGGTCTAGCTGTAAGTACATATTTGTGGCTGGTGTATTTGCATGGGCATACTTGGATTAAATATTTCTACTTAAAAGTTAAAGCAGGGGTCTCCAACCCCCTGTCCGTGGACTGGCACTGGTCTGTGGCATGCCAGAAACTGGGCCCTGCAAGCAAGCAAAGCCCCATCTGCAGGATGCAGGCAGCATGTGAAACCATAGCCTCTGCAGTCTGTGGAAAAATCTCTCCACGGAACCGGTCCCTGGTGCCCAAAAGGTTGGGGACCACTGAATTAGAGGATGATGAGGCTTAAAATTGAAAAGTAAAGTAAAGCTATTTTTGAAAGAACCATCCAGAATTTTTAAATAGTAAGTTGTTACCTTAAGATACTTTTTTCTGACCTTTTGTTTTCTAAACCTTTTGAGTATTTGTATTTAATCACTGTTTGGGATATTTATAGCCCAACATCTAAAAATGTTAGATCAGCTGCTGCTGAATTTATCAATACTAGCTATATTTTATGGATATTTATAAAGAAATGCCTAAACACTGGTTCTGGCTAAGAAGTGAACCAACTTGAAGTATTTTTAATTATACTACACAGAGGATTAAAAGAAACTAAGGATCTCATTTAATTTAAAAAATAGTTAAGAGAAAACTGTTAACGTGTGGTGCCTCATGAAATGCAGAGGCCAAAGAAGTCCATTGTCCTTCCTGCAGTAAATTGAAAGGACTTAAGTTCTCTTGCTTGCTGCCCAACAGTTAATATATTATTGCATAGAACAGAGTAATAATGCCCAACAATGTAAAAAAGTGTAGAGCTGGTGGATGCATAGTATGCAAGATGTTCAATCTGATTACTAGCTAGCAGTGCTAGAAAGTTGGTTTTTTAAGGAAGGCGACTTTGGCCTATTGATATGGATAGACTTTAGAGCTCGTATACTCCATCCCAGGCTGCTTGCAAATTGCATTGCATGGCAGCTGTTGCTCTTTCTATATCAATTTTTTTCATCATATCAAGTGGTATGAGTAGATACTGGTCTGTAATTTACATATTTTTCAAGGGGCTTCTTTTTGTCCAGTACTCACCATTTGCACATTTTTGCCATGCACTGTTATTAATCTCCTGAAGGATTTTATGGATTATAAATGCCGCGTAAACATTGCCATTTCCTGCCAGCATATTTTGCCTCATGATATTTCTGGGTCCAGTTCCTTGTAGGCTGTTGGGCAACCTTCTTTAATTGTTTGAATCTTGTTAGAATAGGAACGAATAGAAATACATAAACACCTCTTTTAGTTGATTTAAGGCTTGAGTTGGATTTAACATCAGCTGTTACTTTGTGGTCTGATTCAAAATTTACTGCTGTCGGTGTTTAACTACTAAAAGACGGATTTGTTGCAAGGAGAAAATTGTTCAGATTTTTTCCTAGGATTATGTCCAAGTAGAATCCAATTTGTAACTTTGTTTGGAATTAATTCCTTTGCCTTTCATGAAGATCATGTGGGTGTCCTGGAGCTCCAGGCTGACAGAAGCTCTTGGAAAACCTTGTGGGAAAAGGCTGAAGTAGAATTATTGTGCAAGGCAAGCTTGACCTTGCAGGATAATAACATTTTTTAAAGCTGAGGGATGCCTAATTCCTGCAGTGTCTGTCCAGCGGGCGGTTGTATGTGCGGCTGCTGTTCAAGCTTGGGAGCTTACAGCTTTCTGTTTCTCTCCCCCTGCTGGTGATGTCAGCCTTCACCTAACAACCTTCAGCCTGCAGTACACCCCTCCCGTTGTGGCCTGCGTCTGCATCCACTTGGCCTGTAAGTGGTCCAACTGGGAGATCCCAGTCTCCACGGACGGGAAGCACTGGTGGGAGTACGTTGATGCCACTGTAACTCTGGAACTCTTGGATGGTAAGTTTGGAGCAAGGTCAAATACATTCTATGCCCAATAAGAGGTATTCCATTAACTTAATATTTTATTTCTGACTTCTGTATCAAGGTTTCCAGCATGACAGTAAAGAAGTGGGATGCATTTTGTAAACCTAATCTGTACCATTAGGCTTTGGACTGCTCTGTTTTTTGCTGACAAGGATGGACATTAAAATATGCTCCTGTAGAATTTGTGCTGTAGTACTATGCCTACTAGCTTTATTCTTGTGTTTGTGTTTCAGAATTAACTCATGAATTCCTTCAAATTCTTGAGAAAACTCCTAATCGACTGAAACGAATCAGGAATTGGCGGGTAAGATGCTTTGCCCACTTTGTACTTCTCTTTGATAAGAATATTGAAGGAAGACAGTTGCTTGGAATACTAAGATACATCCCAGAGACCTCTGCCTCTTTCTTGTTTATAGCTTTATAACTGGGCTTAAGCCTGATATACATTCATAAACATCTTAAGGCACCCGTCAATTTCCAATACAAATTTAAAAATTCATCACAATGTCTGGGATCATTTCAAGTAGAGCTCTGGCTTTCAGAAATCAGCTATCATATTTCACTACAAGTTATCTGGATTCCACATGAGCTCAGAGTCAGTGTAAGGAAAAAAATAGCTTTGATGGCTAGTTGCCACCCAAGGCTGTGCAGTGGATATCCTCCACCCAAAAAAGAAAGGATCTTCATCTTGGAGCAGGGGAGCAATAAAATTTTGGACAGTTGGGGGGGAGGGGGGAAGCAGACAGGAAATGCTATTAAGTAATTATTTCTCTATAATACTGATAATGTGGGATGATTCCAATATTTTGTGATAGGCCACACAGCCCACAGTATTTATGTTATGGTAGAAACCACAGTACAAATGGTTTTCCAAAATTTCAGATGTTCCTGTTGCCCCAGGTAGATTGGAGAATCCCTGTTTTATAAATATATAAGCAGTGCTAAATTTAGAATAAAGTCAAAGATGCAAAGCAGATCAAATAAGAACATTCACAGAATGAAAACAAAGTAGTTTTAAATAAATTTAGATAAATGGCATGTAAGCCTTTGCTAGGAATGTATTCTATAAGTACAGAGAATCAAAAAAGGATTTTGAGACACTGACTCTTCACTCAAAATAATGAGGCATAGAGGGCTTTAGAAGGAAGACTTTTGAGACAAATGTGATAGGACAGCATCAACCTTCTGAACTGATAAAGTAGATATGACAGCTTTTATTAAATTTATTAACAAAATTATTTGTTAATGATTTTTTTCTAAAATGACAGTTGTCATTTCATCATGGTGTGTCTTATGAAAAACGTGCATTAAAAAATGAACTCTATATGGTACTTCAGCAAAATACAGCAGTGCATGCCTGTATGGTATTCTTTTCTCTCTAGGGGTATTGTACGGCTAGAAGAGATTAGTATACTAGTTTTGAATGCTTTCATTTTAGGCCTGTCAAGCAGCCAGCAAATCGAAGACGGATGACCAAAGTGAGGATGATGGCCTCTCAGAACAGACAATCCTCAGTATGATCTCTAGAAGCGCATCAGACACAACTATTGCAGGCCTGATGAGCATGTCAACGTCTTCAACCACCGGAGCCACTGCTTCACTTCCAGCTACAGAAGGAGAGTCTCCAGGGGAACGAGGTAGTACAGATATTTCATCAGACAGCTGGATGGCTCAACATCCTCCACATAAACAAAAGGCCAGCCATAGAGCTAACGAAATTTCTGCCAATCCTGATCATCTACATCATGACAGCAGTAGTGGCGGCTCTTTTGTTAAGCAAAACATCAAGAGTGCACCGCTAGCAAAAGTATCATTAAAGGAATACCGTGCAAAACATGCTGAGGAGTTGGCTGCCCAGAAACGCCAGCTAGAGAACATGGAGGCAAATGTGCGTTCTCAGTATGCTTATGCTGCCCAGAACTTGCTTGTACAACAGCAACGTGAACGGGATGTGCAGCAGGAGGAGAACTCTCCAATTGTCCTGAAAATCCCTCTAGGCAACAATTCTGATGGTTCTGAACGGCCTCCTACTGAAAAAACTGATAAACCCTCATCTGCAGTTAAAGTACGGTTGCCTGCCCCAGGAGATAAGCCTATTGCTCCTTCCAAACAAGATGATATAAAAGTGCGCATTAAGGTGCCACCTCCCACGGAACGACACAGCTTGCCTGATGAAAACAGTGGCAAGAGCAGAGGAGAGCACAAGGAAAAGCATAAAATCCATTCTTCTAACCACCATCACCATCATAACCATCATTCTCACAAACATTCACATGGGCAACCTGTTGTGAGCACCAAACGTCCAGGGGATCCCAAGCATGTTAACCCAACTGGCATTGTGTCACACAAGGGTTATGTCCCAAATTGTTCCTCCCGTAAGAGACCACTTTCTGAGGAGACCTCAGTTACAGTCCATGAACATCAGCCCAAAATCAGTAAGAGTTCCAAGGGTCCCACTGTGCCATTTGCGTTCCCTCAGCATTCTGGCCACAGCTTGGAAGCAGCTGGTCTATCTTTTCCGCAGGCTAACAAAGCCAGGGGGGCTCATGGAAAATTGGACAAGAGCACTGCTGGGGCCAATGGACATAACATGAGCCAGTCCATTGACTATCAGGATACAGTGAACATGCTGCACTCCCTGCTCAGTGCACAAGGCATGCAACCCACCCAATCATCCAATTTTGACTTTGTGCATCATTATGGCGAATACTTGAACCCCAGGGCTGCTGCAAGTGTTGATAAGCCACGACCACCCCCACTTCCATCAGAACCTCCCCCTCCTTTACCACCACTCCCAAAGTGATAGTTTTAACTACTGAGGTTCTACAAAAAAAAAATAATTGCTCATAGTAATCTCCACTGCCTTGTGTGAATGCCCTGTCCCCTTTTTAAAAGAAAACATTTTTTTTATTATTAGTAGGAGAACATAGAGTTCTTGAAACTGTGAAAAGATACGCTCTTCTTTCTCTGTGTGCATCCCTACCCACCCACCCCCTTTCAGTTCTGGATGGTGAAATTTCTCCTATAAGACCAGCTGTCAACTTCAGAGGTGAGGGTGGGCTTGAACGTTATCAACCCGATAGGAAATGGCGCAGGACTATTTAAATTGACAGTCTTTTCTCCTTTTCTTAAAAAAAGAGGACTTTTAAAAATAATTTAAAATAAGTTATGTGTTTAGTGTTGATTTTATTTTTCTAATGTGGATAAAGGAAGGAGTTATAGCAGAAATGGAAATGGAGAAGGGCGTACGAGTTCTGTCTACTTGCAGTTGTTAATGTGTCTTGTCCCAGTGGAAGTTGCCTCCGCCTGAACAAAGGCAGCGAAGGTTGGAAAGGAAGAAAAGGGAGAAAGGTGTGAGAGACACATGTACTGAATATAAGTAAAGTAGAAAATGGAAGTGGTGAAGCAGAGTTTTTCCAGTTTCTCCTTACTTAGATCTATGATTCTTCATCAGTAAGTAAATGGAGACAGATACAAACCTAAAGTTCCAAAGAATGGTGGAATCAGAAATGTTAGTTAAGTTGCTAACATTTTTAGTCCTCCCTGCTGATCAAGGATAATTTAGGAGCGAGGTTTTATAAGTTCATTTCCTTCTTGACTACACTGCTTCTTTAGGGGTGCCGTTACTATGTTTACCATTTCAGTCTTTGTCTCAGTATTTGTCTCACTGGCAGACAAATGGCTAACATGACTTAACCATTAAAAAATCTCATGGGACTGTATTTCAGTGGTGGGTAGCACTGCATGCTAGTGCATGAACTCTTGAGAGTGCCTTCAAAAAAATGCATTAGTATAGTTTGGGAAAATGTGTGTTTCAGCAGAGGAGGAAGAACTAGAAGTGGCCGACAGCCTAGGGACATTAGAGCAGTAATCGTGATTCTGGGATGCTTTATATTATACCTTAAATACATTATGGAATATGAGATTTTCACATTTTGTCCAAAAGGAAAAAAAGATATAAGGATGACCACAAACAAATCAGGCAAATTTGGTGAACAGAGCAAAGATTGCGAGCCTGTGGCCTTCCAAATGTTTAAGTTGTACTTCTCAGTATCCCTCGCAATTTTTCATGATAGTAAGGGCTCCTGGAAAGTACAGCTTGCCAATTTTCTGTCTCTAAGAGGGAAGAAAATTGAATAAAAGTAGGATGAAGACCTGTGAATATAAAGATGTTGATACAACAATACAAAAATAGCCAGTTTGAAGGTGCCCTGAATTGGTTTGAATGTTGATGTAACATTCTGAACTTGTAGCATACTACTACTGGTATGCTAAAAATGGGGCTAGCATTTAAACATGGACATATATTATGTTTCTGTAGATCACATAAGAATATTTTAATTCTACGAAATCGGCCTTTGTTTGTAATCCAGCATTTGGACGAAGTATTTGGAGTGAATGGTCTTCAATCTCAACTTTATTTTTTGTCTTTTAATATAGTCCCCTTGTTCCACAAGTCATTTCAGGGTATTCCTACTGTTGTGAAGTGAATTCCAAATTGAAATATGAGGGATTGTGACCTAAAAAGGGTTTATTATCCAAAATGGATTACCTTACTATATATCAATAGAGGCCCAATCCAGTATGTCCAGTAGTGACTATGAGCTGTGGCCTCTGTAATGTCATGTGAGTGAAGTTAATTGCTGCTGATTTCAGATGATGCATCATGTTTAAAATAAGACACTCATCTGCTTGTTTTTGCCGAAGTATTTTCTCTGAATTTGGAATAATTATTTCCCACCACCTTTGGATTTCTGAACCAATGGTGTCTCAGCTATTGATGCAAACTTTGGCCTAGTTTTGTGTAATGTTTCATAAACTGTTTCTAATTCCTGGCTCATTTTATTACTATTCCACGTTTCAATAAATGTACTGTCTCCGCATTTAATTTGTTCTTTGTGAAATTTCTTGCTAATATTTGAATTTATCAGGAAAAGTCTATACAAAAGTATTTGGGACAGTAACAGCAGCATTCTGAATCTATAAATCTTCCTTATTTATTTCCTAGTTCTTTATTTACACTGAGATGTAAAAGCAAGCAATAGCAATTACAATTTAAAAACAAATCACAAAAGATAGCAAAGAAGCAAGTAGGAAAGGAAAAATAACTTTGTGGCATGATAAAAAAAAACAGACCACATTTAGTAGACTCTCAGATGTTCATATTTTGGATCATAATTTGTCAGTTAAAAGCTGTTAGCAATAGTAATCCTTAATTTACTATGCTTACTAGAAGTTCCTGGGTTACCCATGGAAATGAATGTGACTGTTACATAAGAATAATGTATGCTGAATTGTCTAAATCACCTCTTGGTCCTTATGTTTAAAAAGAAGTTATTGTTTTGATCAGATGACATTTTCTAGGCTTGCTTGAAATATGTTCAGTAATCCATGTTTTGTATATTGTACGGATACGCACCTGCATGTATCAATTTACAATATTTATAATTATTAATACAGTATGCAAATTTATAATGGACTTGTAAAACCATAGTTATGTGTATGCAGTAAGAAACGGTCAGGGAAGCTTTCTCAGTCACACTAATAATAAGAGGAAAAAGCAGATTTTGAGGAGAACTTCTTTCTGCATTTGAAGTTGAGCAACTGTTAAGATTGAGTCTGTTTAATCCTGAAATAAAATGCAGAGTCCATGTAATTCATACTGGACTGCAAGGAAAGTCCCTAGCCTGGCACTGTCTGTTTTGATCTGCATTCTTAGCATTACCGTGTTGGTTATGCTGGCTGGCCGTTTCCAAAATTGCATTGTTTTTTTAAAGGGGCTTGACTGGACAATGACTTTTACAAAGCACTTAAGTTCCTCTCTACCTAGCTTGAATTGTCAGCAGGCAATGCCTTTAAAACATACTGTACATCCAATTCTGTTAAACTTCAGGGTTTAGTGACTTCCTGATGCTTTGTTGACATCTTCAAGGCGAAATGCTGCACAGACTGCAGACAACTGAACAAGGGCTCCTGTCTTTATAACCAAGTATTCTGACTTGTCATTGCTTGCATAGCAGAACACTTTGCCTCTGAAGATGTTAGCTACAGTTGCTGGTGAAATGTTAGGAAATCTTTTCACCTATATTATGGTCACTAAAACCTGAAGCCCAACAGATACCAGCCATGAAAGCCTGTAGCCAGTATACCATACATTAACTTCAAACGTTAATGGTATAGCTTGGATAATTGAGTTTATTCTGCTTATCATTTTCTGCTGTTCTTTGCTCTCTCCTACCTGAGTTGCAAAACACATAATTCATTGTTGCCATAAACCTTTCTGAACTGTGTGGTAATTCAGACTATGATTTAATAGTTATAGAATTACCAAGATTGTACAGGTCGGGAATGTAAAGGATAGGATAATATCTAGACATGGTCTGCAATCTTCAATGTATAAATTCTGTACAGTAGAGTAATGCCACATTGGGATGGTAATGTGCATTACAGCTAGTTCCGACCATATGACTACAATTGGGACCTGGAATTTCAGTCAGTAAGCAATGTAGTCATTAAATGAGTCATGTGATGACCCACTTTTACAACCATTTTTATCAAGGTCATTAAGCAAATCCAGCTTCCCCAATTAATTACTTGTTAGAAGCCAGCTGGGAAGATTGCAAATTGCAATCACATGACTGCAAGATGTTATAACCCTCCTAAATATGGCTGGTTACCATATGCCCAAATTGCAATTCACTGGGGATGGTGTGACAGTTGTAACTTTGTCAAAGGTACTTTTTCTGAGGTTCTCCTAACTTTGAACCATCATTAACCAAACTCCTAAATTAAGCATTACTTGCACATTATTATGTATTGTGGGAAGAAATATCCATCTGGTTCAGTTCCAAACTGGGAGAAAGACCTTGGAAGGATGGAGGCTGATTGGAAAGATGGTTTAATGATGAAGCAGAACCACATAGATTCTGGTGCAGCTGACAAAATGGAGTTGAGAGTGGAGGGTTTTTATACCTCCTTTGAGCTTTGCACTTGAGGTTCCTGTTCCTGTGCAAGAACATGTATTCTATTGGCTGTTGGGGCTCCCATGGGGCCATGTAGGGGTTATGTAGGGGTCATAGCTGACTATAGGTAAAGTACAAATCCTAGGTGTATGTCTGAGCTACATTTAGTTGAAGTTTGGACTGCTCTGAGGGTAATGCAGTAATTCCTATTGTGGCTTAATGGCTTTGTCCTGTGTTGGATCTTGAGGGCTAATCCTATCATTCTGCCTTTGTTTCAAAATATCCTGGCTTGAATGGATTACCAAATCTGCATTTCTAAAAGGTGGCCGCCTCAGTTTGGTTTTTGAATAGTCTGGCCCAGTCTTTCTTAATGGGCACCTAAATGTCTGCTGGGGCTATTAAGAAAGACTGGGAGGGGGGTGCTTTCTGTCTGCAATAGCACGTTTCTCCAGTTCTCCTTCAGGGAGATGTAATACTCTGTCTTTTTAATATTTCCTAAAATATTTCATTCTTCTAGGAGAGGGGTGTTTGCTAACTTTCTACAGTATCTTTGATTACTCCATATTTGGAACTAACAGGGATAAACACTGGTGATCAGCAAAAAGGCATAAAACTAGGCATATAGCACTCCAAACATCAACAGTAGTTGGCTGAAGAACTTTTTTCAGTTTTTTTTTACTTATGAAAAAGCAATTTAGATAAATGAGCAGAATAAGTAATCACAACCACCTTGAATAAAATCCCTCCCAGAGTCCCTTGGGAGTTGGGCAGCATCAGGGCCGGATTTTCCTATAGGCTAACTAGGCTTCAGCCTAGGGCCTCAAGATCAAGAGGGGTCTACATTCCCTACATTCAAATTGTTAGCAAAATTAAAATTACACTTTCACTATAGGTGAAAGGGCCTCATAAGTGGAATAGCCTAGGGCCTCTTTTCATCTAAATCCGGCCCTGGGCGGCATAGAAATGCAACAAATAAATAAAATAAATAAAATGAAATGAAAAAAGGAAATGGATTTATAGTTTTGGGTAACTAGTAAAGGGGAATGAAGGGATCATACATTTATATTATCTGCATGCAGGCACATTAATCTCATATTGATATGCTCCAACTGTGGCCCATGCTGGTTGAAGATTAAGGGATTATAGTATGGTAACAAACAACTGAAAGGCAATGAAAATGTAAGGGACTGAATGCCACCTGATTTTGGGAGGAAAATCAAGAAAATAAAGACAGAGCTTTACAAGAACACTTGGAAAATCTGTTCTCTATTACCATGTCATACAGGGTATGGAATGGGCTTAAATTATAGGAAGCGGATTTCAATTAAATACCACAAAGTTGTCAATATTAAAAATGGTATGACAGGCAAAATGTTTTTTTTCCAAAACAAAGTTTGAGTTACTCCTACCAAAGATGGTGTCCATTAATGGACATTCCATTAATTGATCTTAACACGTCAACAGTTCCAGCTTCATGAAATGGAATCCTACCTTCCTGTATGTTAAATTCCGTCCTGCTTGAGTAGAATACCAAACTCAGTTGCTTAAATTCTTTATTGGCCAAGCCTGATTGGACACACATGGAATTTGTCTTCGGTGCACAAGCTCTCAGTGTACATAAAAGATATAAGTGATAAATCATGTTCATAGTCATCATAAAAAAACATCATGAATCATAAGATACAACACTTAGTGATGGTCATAGGAAACTAAGCAATCAACACAAATCATGCTAGGAAACTAAATAAAGCAATATACAAGCAACAAAGTCATAAGTAGAAAAGGAGATAGGAAATAGGAAAGATGAAAAAAATAATAGTAATACAGCCTTACTAGTTTGAGAGTGTTATGGGAATTATTTGTTTATAGCACAATGGCGGAAAAAAAAACTTGGTCTGTTTCATATCTAACGAAGCCTATTTAATATAAAATACTTTGTTTATATTAGCTCTCAAAGCAGCTTACTGCAATGAAATTAAAAGCAGGCCATAAGACAGTCAAAATGGTTTAAACCGGGATCATAAAATAAAATAAAATAATAAATAAAATAAAATAAAATAAAATAATAAAATAAAATAAACCGTTAAAAAGCCTGACGCCCTCGGTTTCTCTCCAATGCTTTCCTAGTGAGGAATCCAAGGGCGGTTCTGACCGCCTTTTTCCGCCCCCTCCCCCCCCTTACGCCGGCTCGAATGACATTTCCTTTACCCAATCCCGTCTTGGTCTACGTCATCTCCGGATTGGCTGGCGATAGCGAGCTCGAGGCCCTGCTGAGAGCCAGAGCGCGAGGAGGAAGGTAAGATGGCGGCTGTTGCTGCGCTGACCAAAAAAAAAAAAAAAATGTGAGGGCGGATTTAGGGCTCCCCCCCCCCCCCCACCCCCAAGATGGCTCTTCCTCTCGCTCCTGCAAAACGGCTCCCGGGAAAAAGAAGCAGTAGGCGTGGGGGAATCGTATATGGCCGAGGGACCATAGTTCTCCTTGAGGGGGAAAGAAAAGCGCCTTCTCGACTGGGTTGGGGAAGGCTTCGCCCCCGCGTGTCTGAATTAAGCGAAGCGCAGAGAACAGAAAGGCGGCGGCGGGGGAGGGACTTTTAATCCCTTTTAGGGTAAAAGAGGGAACATGTTTTGTATGAACTTTAAAGACGTTACTGTTGGGAAGAATCTCCGGCGTTCCGTGAGGATCCTCGCCATTATATAAAGATCTTATCTGGTATTTAGTTACAGGAGCCGCAGCTGCTTAAGCGGTTAAAAAAAATAAAAATAAAAAATAAGGGTTAATGGGGAGAAGGCGGGGGGGGGGGGGAAGGGGAACAAGGTAAATGCCCAGCCAGTTGAGGAACTGGGACGGGAAAAGAGGAAAAGTCGTCGCAAGAGTCTATTTACATTTCTTGCCTTTTCGGGGTTCTGGTCGGGGTGGTGTG